AACTGATTATCAATTCGGTTGAGATACTAAGTTGACAAGTCATTGGCTCAATCTATGAATCACTTGTTGAACTTGCTGGTTGAATTACTTAATTGAATTATATAAGAATATATAATAAATGTAATAATAAAAGTATTATGATAAATATATACTTGTGGTATAGTGATTAATGTTAGAAAGATATAAAATTATTAATGTAATATCACCTAATATATTAAGGTTTTGGATTAAAATAGATCTTTACCATTAATGTTGCATTACGTAGGTTAGGTTGTGGGTGTTAACAGTATGAGCTTGGAAAATTTCACACGGCAAAATAATGTATCGATTATGTATAAATTATAATCTGTATATATTTGTTAGTTATGGTTATGATGACTGAAGTTACTGTTTAGACCTCATAATTACTTCTTCATGGATCATGATATTCATTAATTAATTATAATTTTTTCAAAAATATGTTTAGTGATATATTTTTATTTATTTTAAATAATTCATATTTCTATCGTCGATTTATACTCTCAATCAAAAACATATAATTGAAAATATTATATTCAACTGTCAAATTATTATTATTATTATTATTGTTATGAGGTGAAAAGTTTTGGGCGACCTTTGGAGGACAGTAGCCTCATTAAACTATCATGAATATGTTATTAGTTAAATTTATATAAATAATAAATATATTAGCTAGGTCAAACCTAACCTACTTAGACCGAATTATAAACACTTAATAGACCATTTGATCCATTTAAATCCCTACATGGAAGTTATGTGTGAGGAAGAACTTGCAATTTGTGTGTTAACAGTATTGAGCTTGGAAAATTTCACACGGCAAAATAATGTATCGATTATGTATAAATTATAATCTGTATATATTTGTTAGTTGTGGTTATGATGACTGAAGTTACTGTTTAGACCTTATAATTACTTCTTCATGAATCATGATATTTTTAATTAATTATCATTTTTTCAAAAATATGCTTAGCGATATATTTTTATTTATTTTAAATAATTCATATTTCTATCATCGATTCATACTCTCAATCCAAAACATATAATTGAAAATATTATATTCAACTGTAAAATTATTATTATTATTGAGGTAAAAAGTTTTGGGCGACCTTTGGAGGATAGTAGCCTCATTAAACTATGATGAATATGTAAGTATTTTATTTGAAAATGGTAATTAGCGAAATGAATATAATGTTGATCATCTCAAAATAATTTACTTCTTAAGAATAGTATTGTAACCGAGGGCATATCAAACAAATGGCATAGCGTGTGCCGGAACAAAATTTTGACGTGCATAATCACACCAGATGTTTTATGTACTCTAAAATCAACGGCAAATTGAGAGTACTAACTTGGTTAGGATGGAGAAAAAAAGGTTATAGCGAATTGAGAAGCGGAGAAAGTTATATTTATTATTATTTTAGACTTATCACTCTTATTATTTGATTGGTTATTGTTATATCAATTTGAAATCAATAATAAAAAAATAGAAAGAAAAAAAAACTATTGCTGATTTCGACTTTGATAAATAATTAGATAGTAAGGGTGGTACGTCTAAAATATAATAAATATAACCGCCCCAACTGAGAGGCTTGATAGTCCATTGTTCTTTATAAAACAAAGGGGTGGTGAAGGGAGGGCCCCAATTGGTAGAAAAAAACCCGCAACTTTTTTTCTTCCAGAAACTCTTAGTATTTAAAAAATACATTGAATTTCAATTATTTCGAGTTGAGTCGAGTGAACTTACTCAAAGGAACAATATTCTCTTAATGTCTGTTTTTTCGTTTTCACAATTAAGACTTCACTTAAATATAATCGAGTCCCTTATTACTCGAACTTTTTACATATTGATTTATAAAACAAACAAATAATAACATTTGTAGATAGATCAAAAAACTCAATTTTTGAGTTTGTTCTTTCCGGTTCAAAGGTTGAAGTGACAAAAATAATAGAACCCCGTATACCGAAGTGAAAAAGAATTGAAGTGAAAAAGAACCAATTTTAATTATTATTTTTTTAACCTTGAATAAAATTCATTAAACCAGTAATGAAAAAGAATTGAAGTGAGTAAACATAAACAGAAAAACCAAAATCACTGGCTGCTTGTGGAAGCTTGTGAAGCTTCCAAAAAATATTCCATTTTCTTTATCACTGGCTGCTACACTAGTCCGGTGAACATTCTTTACCTCAGTTACTCTACCATCAGCCTCATTCATACTCTCATATCACATGAATACCGAACTAATTTGTTTCCAGCTGCAATAGTAGACTGAAGAATATCATCCTCTTTCTGCTGCTTCACTTTAAGTGATTTTTAGAATAAATTTCAGCCCAAACTTTATTGAAATCTGAACGACACCGACTCCATTCCTCCTGTTTCTGCTTCAGTCGAGTCAATATTACAGGGAGCGCACGAGTTGGATTTTTACGCAATATGTCTATAACGTCAAGACCATGGTCACCATATAGACGTTCAATGCACCTTAAATTTTGAACAGTAAAGTAATCTTCAATACGGTTCAGAGTCTCCGTATTGATCTTATTTTCATTCATGTTATTATATAATTCCTCTGCACGTTTAGCTGCAGAACTCACAGACTCTAATAACATGTCCAGCTCAAATCTGTCATCTTCACATCTGAACAAGCTCTCTTCGTACTGATTCCTGCACATATGTTCGGAAGAGTAATCCTCACTTCCTGAACTCACAGATACCCAGTGATCATTCAATACTTGAGCACCAAGCTCAGATCTATGACTAGCTGTAGGAATTGGATAATCAGCAGGTAGAAGCCGGTAGCTGGGAGTGCAACGTTTACAGTCACTGAGGTCAAGTTCTTGAATGGATTTTCCCATGTACTCCTTCTCCCTGTATCTTTCCTTCTCTTTAGCTCCATCCATCTCACGCTTCTGCTCTTTGTCTTTGTCTTTGTCCTCCAACTTTGATGATCTTAGTGACTTTTTACTCATGACACCAGCAAGGAACCCATCAATATTTTCCAAACACTCCAGGAAATCATTGAATTCCACCATAAGATCAAGATGCTTTCCAAGTAAATCGGTTACCAAATTTTGCAATTCATTCCTTTTTATTATTTCACTGACGAAAAAATTATGAAGGCACTTCAAGAAAGCTTGGTAGTCATCAGCACTGTTCAACTTCTCCTTAACTTTCTCAAAGAAACTGAATGCTTGACTATACATGTTCTTTAAGGTATCCTTGTCTTCCTTAGAAGAAAAGTCTGAAGCCAACCCAAAACCTTCAGCTTTCTTGACAGATTTCTTAATGCCTATGACACCTGCATCAGTATCCTTTCTATATATACTGCAAAAGACAACTCTGTGTTTTGTGAAAACAAATCAAGAATTAGCTCAGGTTCTGTTAGAAGTTAGATTTGCTACTGGGGGACACTGTAATCAGTTTAATCTTAAGTCAATAAAAGTTCTTACTAGAAATACTTTCTTTATATATTACAATTAAAGTTATTCCTACTCAGTCACAAAATGTAATGCCTATAATAAGTTTACATATCACTCCATTTACTCCTAACTAGGTATCCATTACTCTCACAACTCTTGTTTTGTTAAATATATAATAACCAGATTAGTTCTTCTTTTCCTTTGCTTCTTGTGCATGTTCATCATTGTGTTGTCATCATCCATCTCAGGGTGTTCAACACTCAGATCACGCTCACGATCATGAGAAGGAAGCCTCTTTGGTCGATATACTTGCATTTCCCGCATCATGGGTGCCATAGAACTCCGCTCACTAAAGCGCTGCAATGAATTTCGAGCATCCGGAGCATGCTGTGTAGAAGGTGCTGCGAAACTATCTGGTAAGAATCTAGTGAACTCCTCAAGCAAATCTCGATGATCCTTAAACAGGGTAGCAACCTCACTATAAATTTCACCTATGTCCTTATGCTCTTTGCGGTACATATTGGAAATGTTCAAGAACGATTTGTAAACATGCTCATCACTTTGGAATCGTTTCTTTATCTTGTTCACAAAACTAATAGCTTCTTCAAATTCAACCGTTTTCTTTGGAGGAGCCTCATCCCTTACTCTCTTCATCTTTTATCGGTTCTCCAGATTTTCCTAGGAAAATTCGCTGGAAAACAAGTCGAGTAGATCGACAAGAGAAAGAAAAAAAAAAGAGTGAAGTGTTTGATCGGACAGAACAACAAGGTAAACAAGAAAAACAACAAATAGGGTTTCTTCTTTCTCTGTCTCTCTCACGTTGTTGCGTTAGAACGATGGAAACTGAGGCGGTGGGAACCAATTAAAAGGCTAGATTTAGAATTTTATATGGGAAAAAAATTTAATTATTGCATTTTAATTAATTAATTATGCAATTTGGATTAAAATTTGTGATTTTTTTTTACAGGAGGTTTGGATTGTGATTTGATAAAGAAAAAAGTAACAATAATTAATTTAAAGATATTTGTGATTCAATTTGAATTTTTAATAAATGAAATAATTCAATAAATATTCTTCTTAAGGAATAAGGATTACCTAATTTAAATTTAAATTATGTTTGTGAGAAATAAAATATATCAAATGAGATGTCATTGCGTGTGTGATTTATGTGATAAAAAACAATTACATGAATTGGATACCCGAGTCAAAAGTTATGGCCTTCATAAGTTTTATGATTAAATTATTATTATTTTTTTATAAAAAATGACACGTGTCAACCTTAGGTGAGAGATGCCTAAATGAGGCGTCACATTGTAAAATAGATCCGTAATTATTTCCAAAACTGCCATAAATGCGTAATATTTAATTAAAATGCAATAATTAAATTTTTTTGCCAATTTTATATATCTCAAAGATATGAATTAGTATTATTATATCTCCTTGGAGTGATGGATAATCAAAAAATTAATGACTTACTAATTTAATTTAATATATTATTTAAAAGTAATATATTTAAAATCAAAATTAAATCAAAATTTTAAAAAAACTTTAAAATATATCTTGTTTTTAAAATAAAATAAAATAAAAACATATAAAGTTTTCATAAAATTTATACAAAATTTAAATTTATCCTGAGATACATAAAATTTCAAAATTTAAAAGCACAAATTCTTTTAGTTTTAAAATAATCATTGTTTAAAGATTTGTACAAAAATTAAATAATTCATTAAATTCTTTACGATTTAATGAAAATATAAGTTTATTTGATTATATTACACCTTCACTCTATTAAATCATTCTTATTCCAATAAGTAGAAATAAAAAAATAAAGTAGAGCTAAGAAAATAATATTTTTTTTTTTAAGTGACAAATAATTTAGAATAAATTATAACTTTTTAAATACAATTAGATACATAAAATGTGCCTATCATAGTAGAAAGCAAGTTAAATTCAACACCATATTATTTAAGTGGAAAGTGTTTGTCATTTTAAATGACATAAAGTTATGTCATTTGTAACGCCCGGTCGCTTCAAGAATCAATGACTATCCCCACATACTAACACGAGACTTTTCAGTGTGCTTTTTCCTCACTCGCACACTTCCCGGGAAAACTTCCTAGGAGGTCACTCATCCCATAATTGCTCCTAGTCAAGCACACCTAACTGTGGAGTTCTTCCGATCCGGGCTACCGAAAAGCAGATGCATCTTGTTAGTATAGGTAGTACCAATTGATTCTTATAAGCTATTCTCAAACTGTGCAGTCTCATACCTGCACAGTCTTTGGAATTCTTCTCTTTCGGGTGTCGATTCGATTCATTCATGCATGTAACCCCACGCTGGAAGCCTGTCAGGAGCCGCTCCTTGTCCGTGCCCCTTTGCACCGGCGATTACTCCCTGTCCTCGTCAGCGCTCTAGATGTTACATCATTTTAATAGAGAGATTCACACAAGAAATTATTTTTTATTTAAAATTTAAATTAAAAAAATCACTCACTTTCTCTCCCATGATTTTCATTTATTATCTCTATATCTCTCCTAAAATAATATAACTTATGTCATTTAAAATGACAAACATCAAACTCATTATTTAAACATGGTCCTATCACTTAATTTGTTTTTAGCTTTTTTTTTTTTAAGAAAAAACCCAAGCAAGACCTGATTATCAAACTTGTGCAGGACAACAAATTAGACATGATTAGTTATCAAACTTCAAGACCTAATACGTCAAATGCTTTGACGGGATTAGCCAAAAAAATTAAGTCCATGTTTTTTAATAAATTAATTACGCATTTATTACAGTTTTGGAAATAATTATATATTTATTGTACAATATAACGACCAATTTGGGCGTCACTCAAGACGCCTAAATTGGGCGTCACTCAAGAGGCAATCATACTTAATTTAGGCGTCATTTATCAGATATTGACACGTGTCATATTTTTTTTCCAAAAAAATAATAATTTAATCATAAAACTTCTGAAGGCCGTAACTTTTGACTCGGGTATCCAAATCAGGTAATTCTTTTTTTAATTCCTCATAACTTTTCGAGATCTACGCAATGAGATCTCATTTGACATATTTTATTTCTCACAAACACAATTTAAATTTGCAAGAATAATATTATAAGAAACGTTAAACCCGGAAGCCTCTTAGTTCTGGATTTGTGATTTAATATAAATAAATAAATAAATAAAATTTTGATTTGTGATTTAATTTTTTTTAATAATTTTTTTTTATTATAACAAAAATTTGGTTTGTGATTTAAATTAAAAATTAAAATTAAAATTATTATTAATAACGAAAACAAAATAAAGATTTGATTTGTGACTTAAGCTTAAAAATCATTTTGAAAAATCTGTAGAAATAAAGGAAATAATTAAATAAATATTCTAAATCTCTAAGGAAGAAGAATATTATTTTTGAAATTAATGATTAATGCTATAAGCTTCTAAGTTATTATTTATGGTGTGAAATTAATTATGGCTTATGCATTTTTTTCAAAAATAAAATTACCTAAATTAGGCGTGATTGCCTCTTGATTGAAACCCAATTTAGATGTCATTGGTGACGTGTCAGGTGTTGACACGTGTCACATTTTTAAACTCAGAAGCCTCTGTGTTTTGGGTTTGTGATTTAATATAAAAAATAAATCAAGATTTGATGTGTGATTTAAATTAAAAAATAACAATTATTATTAATAAGGAAAACAAAATAAAGATTTGATTTGTGATTTAAACTCAAAAATCAATTTGAAAAATCTGTATTAATAAAGGAAATAATTAAATAAATATTCTAAATCTCTGAGGAAGAAGGATTACCTGATTTAAATTTAAATTATGTTTTTGAGAAATAAAATATATCAAATGAGATGTCATTGCGTAGATCTCGAAAAGTTATGTGGAATCAAAAAACAATTACCTGAATTGGATACCCGAGTCAAAAGTTATGGCCTTCATAAGTTTTATGATTAAATTATTATTATTTTTTTATAAAAAATGACACGTGTCAACCTTAGGTGAGAGATGCCTAAATGAGGCGTCACATTGTAAAATAGATCCGTAATTATTTCCAAAACTGCCATAAATGCGTAATATTTAATTAAAATGCAATAATTAAATTTTTTTGCCAATTTTATATATCTCAAAGATATGAATTAGTATTATTATATCTCCTTGGAGTGATGGATCAATCAAAAAATTAATGACTCTACTAATTTAATTTAATATATTATTTAAAAGTAATATATTTAAAATCAAATTAAATCTAATCATGCCAATTATTAAAAAAACTTTAAAATATATCTTGTTTTTAAAATAAAATAAAATAAAAACATAAATGAAATGATAATTAAAATTCATAAAATTTATACTTAATATATTTTAATTTTATTTATCCTGATATGATAAGCATAGGTTGTGTCAAAATTTCTATATAAATACATAAAATACAAAATTTAAAAGTACACAATACGATAAAGTTTTGTTTCAAAATTTAAAAGTACATAATACAAAATTTAAAAGCACAAATTCTTTTAGTTTTAAAATAATCATTGTTTAAAGATTTGTACAAAAATTAAATAATTCATTAAATTCTTTACGATTTAATGAAAATATAAGTTTATTTGATTTTATTACACCTTCACTCTATTAAATCATTCTTATTCCAATAAGTAGAAATAAAAAAATAAAGTAGAGCTAAGAAAATAATATATATTTTTTTTAAAGTGACAAATAATTTAGAATAAATTATAACTTTTTAAATACAATTAGATACATAAAATGTGCCTATCATAGTAGAAAGCAAGTTAAATTCAACACCATATTATTTAAGTGGAAAGTGTTTGTCATTTTAAATGACATAAAGTTATGTCATTTGTAACGCTGTTATCCTATGGTATATATATGTGCTAACTTAAGTTTACTATGTTACACAACACAATTGTGTAAAATTTATCCTAGTCAATTGTGATAAAAAATGTCTAGGCAAGTTTGAAGAGAGAATGAGCTTTCAACTAATTGTACTTTACTAATGTTCTACATGGAGTAAAAATTGGAGAGTTCAATACTCTAAGGTCACTTTGTTTTAATTTTTAAGCATTTAAAAATCTCATAATTGTATTGACATATATATAAATACACACACACATAAGTAAAAGATACATACATGCATACATAAGTAACTATGCATACCTCATACTATAAAATTACATAGCAAAGTCAAACTTGACAGAGGGTTTGGCTGGGAGGCCCCTGCATATGTTTTGCACCATAAGTGTTTGTAGGATAATCTAAAAAACGCGAATATGAAATCCTGGAGTGCTCCTAAGATGCTCTGTTGGTTGGTGTTCTTCCGAGTTTGAAGGGGAATTCACAAG